TACAAACAACAATAATGTAGAAGATTAATTGATTTGTTCAGTGTGAAGGGCATTGAGTTATGTGCCAATTCATCACACACAGCCTCAAAAGTCTCCCTTTAATCACTCCCCAATACCAGTATCATAGCAATGACCTTATAATGGCCTAACATCTAACCTCAATGCACTCTGTATATGAAGCACCATACTGGTGTTTCTAACAGTAGTTTTACTGAGTAAATAATACTATCAAACATGTTATTTTAGCTAATTTAGCCATAGTCCATAGATTTCACTAATTCAAGATGTTGCTAATTTAGCCATAGTCCATAGATTTCATTAATTCAAGATGTTGCTAATTTAGCCATAGTATTGATTTCACTAATTCAAGATGTTGCTAATTTAGCCATAGTCCATAGATTTCATTAATTCAAGATGTTGCTAATTTAGCCATAGTCCATAGATTTCATTAATTCAAGATGTTGCTAATTTAGCCATAGTCCATAGATTTCACTAATTCAAGATGTTGCTAGTTTAGCCATAGTCCATAGATTTCATTAATTCGAGATGTTGCTAATTTAGCCATAGTCCATAGATTTCACTAATTCAAGATGTTGCTAATTTAGCCATAGTCCATATATTTCACTAATTCAAGATGTTGCTAATTTGGCCATAGTCCATAGATTTCACTAATTCAAGATGTTGCTAATTTAGCCATAGTTCATACATGTAACTAATTCGAGATAACGCTAATTTAGCCATAGTCCATAGATTTCATTAATTCAAGATGTTGCTAATTTAGCCATACTCCCTAAATTTCATTAATTCAAGATGTTGCTAATTTAGCCATACTCCCTAAATTTCATTAATTCAAGATGTTGCTAATTTAGCCATAGTCCATAGATTTCACTAATTCAAGATGTTGCTAATTTAGCCATACTCCCTAAATTTCATTAATTCAAGATGTTGCTAATTTAGCCATAGTCCACAGATTTCATTAATTCGAGATGTTGCTAATTTAGCCATAGTCCATAGATTTCACTAATTCAAGATGTTGCTAATTTAGCCATAGTCTATTGATTTCACTAATTCGAGATGATGCTAATTTAGCCATACTCCCTAAATTTCATTAATTCAAGATGTTGCTAATTTAGCCATAGTCCATAGATTTCACTAATTCAAGATGTTGCTAATTTAGCCATACTCCCTAAATTTCATTAATTCAAGATGTTGCTAATTTAGCCATAGTCCATAGATTTCATTAATTCGAGATGATGCTAATTTAGCCATACTCCCTAAATTTCATTAATTCAAGATGTTGGCTAATTTAGCCATAGTCCATAGATGTCACTAATTTAAGATGTTGCTAATTTAGCCATAGTCCATAGATTTCATTAATTCAACATGTAGCTAATTTAAAAGAAAGTATACTCTCACAATATGAATTGTTGGCACTACATTAAGATTCAGTTAATTCATGCATATACAGATAAATTCATTAAAAATTCATGTGTGTCATATGGATGGATTATTACATTATTATAGGCTATGTGCATTTCATATTTATTATGTTTTTAATATTGTTATTTCTACCACAGACTGTGCAAAATAGCCACTTGAAATTGCATCCTTTTTATCACAATGGAGACTTAGTCACACAGTATAACTGAGATCTAAGCTATCCCATCATGCATTTCACTTACTTCCTTTTCCTCCTTCGCCTCGATGTTCTTCGACATCCTCTACTGTATGAGAATCTCCATCATCTTCTGTATGGGATGGTTTGTTGGGACTTGGTGGAACTGAAAAAGAACAAAGTAGTTTTATTGAGATGGTCACAGGAAATTAATTAAACTTATTCATGTGTGAAATTATTTGTGAATCAATCATTTTAATAGGGCATATTATTTAACAAATGAAAATGAAGAAAACAAAATCTGGCAGGATACTACTGTCTTCTTCACAAATGCTGTTTCACTGCCATCACATGATGTTACAGACCAATTAGGCCTAACAAAAAAGATGATTTGTTTCTGGTCATTTTGGTGTCAGTCCAAAAGTGACTGCTCACTTTTTTTATGGTTTCTGAAAATATTGTAAAAAAAAAAAAAAAAAAATTTAACCATATCAGAACCAGAAATTGTTTTCATCCTCAAATTCTGACATATTTATTCGATTGAATAAATTATTTAGACCAAAGACACTAAAGATGGTTTGCCAGACATATTGATAAAACTGACAAGTGTAATTTTTAACCTTGACTTCCCCATATCAACATTTAAAGAGACAAACTTAGATAAGTATTTTTGAGTATGCAGTACTGGGGTAAATAATTAAACAGTAGGGTATAATTTATTGTGAAAAACACACATAGTATGAAACGTGTGCTCTCTATATTAGTGTTTTCAGTAATACGTCTACACCGCTCTTTGTTGCCAAAACAACATTTTTTTTATTTTACGATAACTCATGGCCCACTGTTTTATTAACTCTTTAATATCACAATTTTTCCCGCCAAAATTTTACTGCAATATTTTCCTCATGTTTATGTAATTATTTTCTGTAATTTCTTTGTTGATTTTGGACCAGATATACATAATTTTCTACTGGCTATATCTTGTGATCAAAAAATTTGAAAAAATATTATGCAGGTATATTTTGTGAAAGATGACAAGTTGCTTTTGGTGTTCAGCAAAACTAATTACAATTATCTATCCACTTTCCCATGTGAACATACAACAGTATAATATAGGAAAAATACATATGTACTATTATATTTGTATAATTTCTCGATATTATAGAAAGCATGTTAACAACAAATCACAAAGACCTGATTGTGTATTTAAGCTTTGAACAGCGACTAATTCTTAAAATATGATATGACTTTTTGGTTTTTTCTTTATTAAATGTTAGTATAGCATTAGAATCAGTCACAAAATATGTTATACATGAATGCTAAATTTATTATTATTAGTTTTAGTTTGCAATTCATTATTGAACTGAATTATAAAAATTCAAATTGGGTTTACTTATTTTAGCAAAAAAAAAGGTCTTTAAAAAAATAAGTGTTGACCAGTTTCATCATGGATTCTATAGACTACACCTAAACTCATACAACATTGAAAGAATCAATGTTACTTTGAGATGTACTGTTTTTTTTTATAATACTGTTAAAATGATAGATATGTCCCATCCATACATGGATGTACTAGGATAAGTATAGGTAAGAAATTAAGAGTGCACCACAAGCCTAAAAAGACTGGAAATTCAGAAAACATTTCACTTTATACCTAAGTAGTAATTGTTTTATTGAAATAAATCTTTTTTAAACTTTTGTTTTTACAAGTATAAACATCAAAATGTCTTAGGAATTAATCCATGGGAATGGAATGAAGTATGGCATGATACTGGATAACTAGAAAGTCTGGCATTCCGGAATATTAGCAAGGGATTGGAGACTTGTTATTTCCGGTTTATTATTTTAATAATGTTCTGGACAATGCAGCTACTGCCGATGGTTAGATAAGCTTGCACTAACAGTAGAAGTTTTAAGGTTCAATCAGAATTGAAATTCATATAATTTTAATGTCGATAAAATTCAAAACAAAACATGGAGAAAGAAACACTTGAATTCTTGTGAAAAATATGACAAATCATATTTTATTTTTGTTATTATATTTGTTTCTCCAGTGAGAGTAATTTGATCATATCTAAAAATTATGCTTGATCTCAATTACAGAACCTAAGAGAGGTCTACTCCAGGAACATACACCAAGTGTCTAAGCAATTAGGCTTGCAGTTTTCAAAAAGTAAAAAGTTGACACGAGCGACGATGGACAATAACTCATATGATAAGAGCTGTTAGACAAATTCGATAGTGGAGCTAACAAACTTATGCAGTTTTATTCGGTGATTTCCGTTCAAGGGGTCAACATGAATTGGAATTCTGACTAAGTTTGACAGATTACATATACTGCTATAAATATTCAGACGGCAATATGCCTGAGAGGTTACCCGTATAAAATGACAAAATTTATAGACTCGTAGTTTATTTCCCACGTGTGACACATTTTGAAAATATATGCTGGTTGAGGTAAAACATATTTATACTATTGTTATACATGTTATTCAATGAAACCATCCCTACTACGTAATCCGTACGCACACTATACACATGGTGCACAGAGAGTTTGCAGGAATGGATCGAGATTTCAATTTTAGGTGGATTAATTTTTTAAATCCACACCCAAAAATGAATGAGTTATAAAATTTAAAACTGTAATATAGGGGCTCCTACACCCTATGAAGCCCCTTGATTGCAGCCCCTGGTCTAATCAATTCTTTAATAAGCCTTTTCTCATTTATTTAATTAATGATCCTCGTTAGAGTGTTTACTATATTAACATATAAGTATTATTTATTGCATTGTCCTATTGTTTTTAAAAACACTTAAATACTTATACTTAAATAACTAAACTGATTAAATAATAATAATATTTCACAACTATTTATCTTGCACAAAAAAAACAATATTTAAAAACGTGTACTGTATTTGTACTATTAGTAGCGCATGGATGTTTGTGCATGATAGACATATGTCTATGATCAAAATAAGTAATATTTTAATTTAATTTTAGTAGTATACAACAAGCAGCCTGCTGATTAATATGGCTCTGCTGTATAATTAGACAGTTGCAAATAGCATTTTTTACCAAAAATAACAAAACTACTAACTAAAATTAGAGAATTGAATGTATCATCACAAAGTGAATAAATCTGATTAAGGTCGAGATGTCTACATATATAATATCAAAGCAAATAGTGTAGCCACTTTCAAGTGATTGTAACTAGCACTTTTTACTAAAATGACAAACATTTTCATTAAAATTAGACATTCGAAGACCTCTTTACAAAATAAACAAATCTGAGAGAGGACCACCCAAGGTACATATATACCAAGTATCAAAGCAAGTGAACTTGCTGTTTTTAAGAAAACAAAAATGTGAAATTGATGCTGATGGACAATCAGTAATATAAACATCTACGATGCAGCTAATAAATAATTATTGTTTTCTGTGCTTCTACATTTATGAGAAGTGTGCTTCTAATAAAGTGAATATGGTACTTGCTTAATTAAAAATACATCTGTAATATAAGGACAGACTCTCTCAAATTCCATTCATTTAGTCTTGGTTCATTATATATTATTTTGACTAAAGACATTTATGTGAGTATATTAACAGCTAGTAGAACAAATACGGTATAGATATAAAAACTGAATGTATAGACTAATTATACAAATAGAACAAATACGGTATAGATATGAAAACTGAATGTATAGACTAATTATACAAATAGAACAAATACAGTACAGATATCAAAACTGAATGTATAGACTAATTATACATGCTAGACCCGATTCCAGTAAAATACATTATATAAACATTGCAATGAATTCAATCATTTTTCATCATCTTTCAGCACACTAATTTGCATAATACAATAATTCCTCATTCACTCGTAGACAGAAGGTGCTTAGGAATACACAACTATATATCGACGGTTCTTAACGCGCAACCCTTTGATTGATAGTATTTTTATTAAACACAGAATGATTGGGTTTTGTTTTTCATGGTTTTGCTTTTTACTTATTTTTAGATGTTATAAATGACAAGAAAATGTATTTGCTAGAAAGCATATTAAACTACGCTGGCAAAAAATTTGCATATTTGGTTCGAAATAACCACCTAGGACGTTTTACACCTGCTACAAAAATACCGTGCATACCCTTTAAAACCTCACTATAATTATTTGCACAGGAAGTATGCTGCAAAAAAATATGTAAACCTTTGTAATTTTGTGGGAGAAAAATAGTAAAATCATTGAATTCAGACATTCTCTCAAAGTTACTAAGCATGTTGCTATGGCAACCTATACATCATCGGAAAGCTCAGTATATCTAATGTCTTGATGTCTGGGAAAAAATATATTTTTGTTTTGTTTTCAAAATGCAAAGTTTGTCTACATCTCAAAATTAATTGGCACGAACAATTGAAAACAGAATTATAGTAACAACGAGTTATTGAAAAAAAAATTGCGGAACTAGGCATATTTTAATGATCTAGTTCCGCAGTGCATGGTTTTTTGTACACTTCTTGCATTACTGTGTAACGGCAAAAAGAACTAAAAGCATTTTAAGTAAATATTTCATTTGCTGTTGTGAACAAACTAAGTGGTATCTCAATCAAAACAACCACCAACTTTTGTAAAAGAAAGAGCAAATGAATAGTTAAATGTAGCATTGTTAGTCCATTCAATGGCAAAATTCTTTACTCGTATATTGGCATTCTTTCATTACAATGAGTTTGAAAAGTTTTGAAAAATAAAGTATGTGAAGAAAGTGGCCTTTATTTTTTTCGGCGGGGAGGTCAGATGGTTTAAATTATACAGCCGAATTGGCTAGCTCTGCATTTACAAAAAGTATAAGAAGTTAAAAAAAAAGTTAAACAAAGTTCTTGGCTAACATAAAAAGATTCCATTATAATCACCCCTGTTTTTTTTTTTGTCTTTTAAGATTCAACTGATTAAAGTAATACTCAAGGAGGCATTGGAAATGATTTTCTAAACTTTTCATTTTCAATGATTTTCAGCATATAAAATACGATAGGCGATTGACTGTTTTCTGATGGGTGGATTCATAAAGATTTGTCTCTATCCCGATTTTCTCTGGCTCTCAAAGATTTGAAACAACAGTCAATCTAGGAATATCTAGGAATAATTCAACTTGGAGCATATAAAATAATTCTCATCATTTTAATTTCATTTTTTTCCTCTTATCACAAAAAGATACACATTTCAAATAATTTAATAAGTATGGTATATTAATACCTACCTAGCACAGTTAGAGTATAGTTAACGGTGATACTGCCAAAACCATTTGTAGCTTTACAAATATAATGTCCAGCATCCTCTAATTCCACGTCTTTGATTTTTAGTCCTTGATTCAATATGTGGAACCTGTCCCACGCATTATGGATATTTTGTTTATCCTTTGTCCAAACTGATAGGGCAGGTGGGTCTGCTTCCACCTTGCATAATAGTTTCACAGTCCTTCCAACTCGTACTCTCTGGAAACCATTTACTGTGCCAGCAAGTCTTGGAGGACCTGATAAAAAAAAGGAGTTGGTTAATATTGACATTTTGGAATTCAACTTGATCAACAGTTCATGATGCAATATGAAATATGGAATATATTTATTAAAATTGTAATTATTTTATTGGATATAGTTTAAGATAACTGTCACATGATGCATTTATTTTTTTATTTATTGGTGTGTCCCTAACATTATAATTATTGGTGTGTCCCCCACATCATAAATATTGGTTTGTCTCTCACATCATAATTATTGGTATGTCCCCCACATCATAATTATTGGTGTGTCCCTCACACAATAAATATTGGTATGTCCCCCACATCATAATTATTGGTGTGTCCCTCACATTATAATTATTGGTGTGTCCCTCACATCATAATTATTGGTGTGTCCCTCACATCATAATTATTGGTGTGTCCCTCACATCATCATTATTGGTGTGTCCCTCACACAATAGTTATGGTGTGTCCCCCACATCATAATTATTGGTGTGTCCCTCACACAATAGTTATTGGTGTGTCCCTCACATCATAATTAATGGTGTGTCCCCCACATCATAATTATTGGTGTGTCCCCCACATCATAATTATTGGTGTGTCCCCCACATCATAATTATTGGTGTGTCCCTCACATCATAATTATTGGTGTGTCTCTTACATCATAATTATTGGTGTGTTCCTCACACAACAAATATTGGTGTGTCCCCCACATCATAATTATTGGTGTGTCCCCCACATCATAATTATTGGTGTGTCCCCCACATCTTAATTATTGGTGTGTCCCTCACATCATAATTATTGGTGTGTCCCTTACATCATTATTATTGGTGTGTTCCTCACATCATAATTATTGGTGTCCATAACATCATAATTATCGGTGTGTCCCTAACATCATAATTATTGGTGTGTCCCTCACATCATAATTATTGGTGTGTCCCTTACATCATAATTATTGGTGTGTTCCTCACATCATAATTATTGGTGTCCCTAACATCATAATTATTGGTGTGTCCCCACATCATAATTATTGGTGTGTCCCTCACATCATAATTATTGGTGTGTCCCCCACATCATAATTATTGGTGTCCCTAACATCATAATTATTGGTGTGTCCCTAACATCATAATTATTTGTATGTCCCCCACATCATAATTATCAGTGTGTTCCTCACATCATAATTATTGGTGTGTTCCTCACACAATAGTTATTGGTGTGTTCCCTACATCATAATTATTGGTGTGTCCCCCATATCATAATTATTGGTGTGTCCCCCACATCATAATTATTGGTGTGTCCCTCACATCATAATTATTGGAGTGTCCTTTACATCATAATTATTGGCATGTCCCTCACATCATAATTATTGGTGTGTCCCCCATATCATAATTATTGGTGTGTCCCTCACATCATAATTATTGGTGTGTCCCTTACATCGTAATTATTGGTGTGTCCCTCACATCATAATTATTGGTGTGTCCCTCACATCATAATTATTGGTGTCCCTAACATCATAATTATTAGTGTGTCCCTCACATCATAATTATTGGTGTTCCTAACATCATAATTATTGGTGTGTCCCTAACATCATAATTATTGGTGTGTCCCTCACATCATAATTATTGGTGTGTCCCTCACATCATAATTATCGGTGTGTCCCTCACATCATAATTATTGATGTGTCCCTCACATCATAATTATTGGTGTGTTCCTCACACAATAATTATTGGTGTGTCCCTTACATCATAATTATTGGTGTGTCCCTTACATCATAATTATTGGTGTGTCCCTCACATCATAATTATTGGTGTGTCCCTTACATCATAATTATTGGTGTGTCCCCCACATCATAATTATTGGTGTGCCCCTCACATCATAATTATTGGTGTGTCCCTCACATCATAATTATTGGTGTGTCCCTTACATCATAATTATTGGTGTGTCCCCCACATCATAATTATTGGTGTGTCCCTCACATCATAATTATTGGTGTGTCCCTCACATCATAATTATTGGTGTGTCCCTCACATCATAATTATTGCAACATTCAACATAGCATTAATTGTTCTATGGGTTAGCAATGCATTCCATGGGATTAAACAAATATTCTATGACATGAAGAGTAAACCAAACTATGGTATGAAGAGTGACCAGCATATGAGCGAATTTAACAGTACACATTTTACTATATTACACAGTGTTAACAGCATTTGTCATCACCAGCTTGCAAGGCTTAATTGATCATTATTTGTGATTTCAGGAATTTAAAAACTTGATCCACATTATCATCAGCTTAGTAGTTTTAATATTGTTATTTATTGGTTGGAGCATATGGTGGCTAAAGACACCAAAAGGCAATACGTAATAATATTGAATATTAGACTACAGTGAAAATAACTGTTTTTACAGAGTTTCTAAAATATATATTTAAGTAAATTTCCATTAAATACTTAAGGGGTGATATCATATGAAATCATCAATCCACAGTTTCAAGTGATGAGTTTTATGCCTATATATCCCTGAATGCTTATGCTCATATGTCTACTACAACTTAGACCAGACTTTTATTATGCCTTGTTTCGCAAACTCGCCGAATGAAAAAAAAAAAAATTTTTAGTTCAGCGTAATTTCTCGGGCCCGCCAACTTGTAAGCGCAAAACAATGCTAAAAAAATATTATTTTTATCTTCATTTTTTTACCCCCCACTGCATAACAAATCCAAGTTGCATTTTAATTGAAGTATCATGATCAAAGTACCGAAGTCTCGCGCAGATGAGAAACAAGTTTATACATGGAATAAAATTTTATTTCATTTCTTCTCTCCGATCAATGATCTCACTTACCTACAATTCTTTGAGAATCACACAAATCTAATAAAAAAAAGATTTATTTTTTTTTGCCCTCCTTAAAAAAATTGCCTTATAAAAACTCGAGAAACAAGGAATAAAAAAATTCTGGCCTTATTGTTTTTTTTTTCTCTAAATGATTACATCTACTTCATACTTAATTTAAGTAAATGTTTCGATGGCAGTATTTTTAGCAGCGGTCACTACAAATAAATGACTATTCCAACCCATGGATTGGAAAAAACAAGAAATATTGATATAATACAATATGATATGATTTCAACAGAGTTAAATTTCATGAGGAGAAAGTATGAAGCCTGAAAACGAAACACAGAAAAAGTCAAAGATGTAACTAGGTGATATTTTCTTAATATGGTCAATTCATTTCAGGTGGTTGGATTAAAAAACTATAGTTAAAGCAAAAATCTGGTGGTCCAACTCATAAAAGAATTCAGGTAGTTTTGCCATGGGCTGAAATATTTTCATTTAGTGACAGTTTCAGTTGTTTCTGAGTCACTGTATCAGTCATCTCATTACTAGAACTATTTCTTTGGACTGTGTTTTTTTACAGGTGTTCCCACTATATCGAATTTCAATGCATCAAATTGTAAACCGTTTGATTTTCACGGCTAGAAAATTTGTGCGATTATAAGACTGTTAGACATACACAAAGACATGTTGTAGGACTTGGGAAAATTTTCTCTTACTTGCAAAATTCGCGAAAATTTTTCTTTCGTGAAACTAAAGTAGTTTGCTGTATATATCCTTGCTATCGTAGATATATCTGTAATGCCACAGTAACTGTGTGTATTGATAAATCAAGTTGGTGAAGTGTTTTTCATTTTGTCAGCTATATACTATATATTTTTTAACCTGAATGACTCAGAGAGCCACTTAAGTTGGCCATATTTGTCGTATGAATTTGATGCAATAGCATTTATGGAATCTGATAATAAAACGAATACTGATAAGAATTTTAATCACAATTTGAATGTTTGTTTTTTTTCATTTTTAACCAACCATGAGAAAAATATGGCTGAATTAAGTAGAACACTGAGTGGTTTATAAACTATTAGGCCATTATAGCTGTTATATTGTATGAGGGGAGGGGATGTAGTTTGGAAGGAGGGAGGGGCATGAGTGAAACTCACAAACTAATCTAAATCACAGTTATTTGAAAGGGTAGTAGGAAAACAGCAATAAATTGAACCCCTCGGCTAAACATATATTGCACATGGAGAAAAGCTTTGTACATGAATATTGAACCAACCTCTGAAGAAATAAATTAATGCATTTACATGTAAAATAAGAAAGGTTCTATGTTTTATTATTTATAATTAGACTAAAAAGAAAACATTTTTTAGCAAACATTTTCTTTTTTGGGCTAATTTTCTTTCATGTTTATAATATTTAGCTAGAAAACAAACAAAAAAGTTTTTTGTCTTCACACCATGTACAACATTATATTTTGCTCATTTTCACAATGTAAATACGTGCTAGATTTTTGTTTAAGACCTGAAAATCCTAATCAGGGCGAGTCTGGATAATTAAATTAAATTTCACTCGTATTTCATTGAATTTTGAGACACAAGTCTTGATTCATAGAATGATAATCTAGAACCATGGAATTGACAAGTTTTGAATTGTAAAATTGACAAGTGCAAATTATTGGATTATGAATAATTTTATTTTCGCTGCTGGAACTTTTCAGAAAGGGGACAAAGTTTTGCGAAAGTTGACGTAATTATTTGTGCTTAGCCTTTCCACCACCAGATTTTCTTGCCTGAATTTTTCTGCACTTTTGAATATTTCTGGAGATGAACCTTGATTTTGGAGCCAACAGACAAAATTTTAGTCAATTTTCAGTTTTTACTCGAAAAATTTGAAATTTGAGACGATTTTGTGATAAAAAGAGGGAACTGGTGGTGAAAAAGTCAGAACCCCTTGTGTTAATTTCAGTGCTATAAAATTCTGTGATTTTCACCGAATTATAAAATTAAAGCCGCAAAACTACAAAAGTTAAAGGAAATTTAGTAAACTATAAAATTGTTGTTAATAGCAAAGAATGTGACCAGCATTAACACTAAAATCTACAGCTCTACTCGCCAATAAATTAATTATTATTATCTGTAATATGTTATATTTAGTGACAAATATGACAGACATGTG